TGTCCATGGAGGACTACTATTCTGCCCCAACTCTTCTTTATTTTTACTGCTCTGTGTTCACCTTGAGTTGCTATTTTGTCTTGTTTTTTGGGGGAAATCTGGAGAGTTTGGAATTTTCTGGCCTACTCCACTATCTTCTCAGAATCCTTTTTCCAATTCTATTTTTTAAAGGAGCTGTTTTCTTCACTCAATTTTTATGCCTCCTTTTCCAAGCTGTTGACTCTTTTTATTTCATAATTCTCTTGCATAACTCTCATTTCTTTTCCCAATTTTTCTTCTGCCTTTCTTATTTGATTTTTAAAGTCCTTGTTGAACTCGTCCAAAAGGACTTTTTTGACTAGAGACCAATTCATATTCCTGTTTGAGGCTTTGCCTCCTGTAGTCATTTTGAATTTATATTTTCATCTTCCCTTTTGCCATATTAGCTTTGTATAGTCATGTCTATTTTTTTGGTTTTTTGCTCATTTTCTATCCTATTCCATTAATTTTAAATTTGAGCTCTGCTTCTGTGATATAGGGGGCACTGTCCAAGCTTCTTGTGCTGGGGGCCAGGGGCCTGATCACTGACTTTCTTCACTAGGATCTCTGGGCCAGGTGGCTTGCCCTGCCCTAGAGTGGCCCCATCTAGTTGTGCCAGTTGTCCCAGGGATTCTGGAGTTGGCAGTTTAATTACTGTGTTGGGACTGCAAACCTCACAGCTGATCTGCTGTGCGACTGCCCTGCTGAGGCAGGACTGTGGGACCTCAGTTGCTGATCTTTGTTGCGGCTAAGATCCTCCTGCTAGCTTGCCTGGACACGCCTATACTGGACTGCACTCCCTTTTTACCCAAGTGAGATGGACTTTTTCTGCAGTCCTTCTAAGTTATCTTGGGTTGGAAAATTGTTTCACTCCATCTTTTTGTGGGTTTTGTCTCTGCATTTAGTGGCTTGATTGAATGTTGTTTCAAGGGAAAGTGGGGAGAGCTCAGCAACTTCCTGGCTTTTCTACACCATCTTGGCTCTACCTCTTCTTATTTTCTCAGGAGCAGATCTCAGGTCCGAAGATATTAAGAGGTCTCTGCTGTTTGATATCTTCTCCATTTAAAGCCTGTAGTGGCAGCTTTGGTGAAGCAAAGATGAAAGTAGTTTTGTAGAGATTTGAATATTCAGCTATTTCTGTAGTGTATTATTACTACCTCAAACTCTAGATTCAAGTCTATCTTTCAGTTTGCCTCCTTCAGTTTACATTAAAGGGAGACAGTTTTCATTATGTTATAGATGTGGCATGTTTTCATTTGGTTTGAGATGATGTCTGATACAAAGTTTCATTACATTGTCTGTATCTTGTGAAAAAAAATGTTATGGTCAAAATTCTCCTAACTTACGGTCAAAATTTCTTTTCAGCCTGTTATTATAACAAGTTTATCTAAGTGTAAGGAACTATTTTGTAAATGCAAATTTTAGAAATCAAAACAACTGCTTGACTATATCTCTTCACCTTTCCTGGAAGGTGTCCTAATATACTAAAATATGGTAATTTGAAAAGAAGGTCCATTGATTGGGCTTTGAAATATCATATTGCCTAGTGAAGTTCAGTGTCACACTTACCATATCTATTTGCAAGTGGACACTTTCCAACATAATACAGCACTTTGCAGATATAACTGGGATCTATTTTTGCCTCAGTGAAACTGCTCGTGCATTCCGGAAGACAAATATATTACTGAATGTGTGTGTGTGTGTGTGTGTGTGTGTGTACATACACACATATTATATATACATATATATATATATTACTGAATTCTAAACAATATTATACTCTGAAAAAAGTATTTGGATTGGAGATGAATTTGTAAACTATAGCTGAATGACAGTATGTATGAATAAAAAGAAAAGGATGAATATAAACACATTTATTAAGGACTTGTCACATGCCAGGCACTATGCTAATCATTGGGTATACAAATATGAAATGATGTTCCTACTCTCAAGAAGTTTAAATTCTAAAAGCAGAAGACAACGCATTGAGAAGTGGTTGCCAGCGGAGGAGGCTAGGGAGTTACAGAGATGGTGAGTTGTTGTATATGAAACAAAAGTAGTGGGGCAGTAGAGTGAAAAGGTACCTGGGGCTCAGGCAGAGAGTGAGATGGCATGGGTTGATGGCTGAATGCAATGTGAAGAAGAAACATGGTGTGTGTCAGCCAGTAGCCTCTGTACCATTATTGACATTTTTCATTAAACTTAATAAACTTTACTTCTTTAATGTTTATTTGTTACCAAAATCAGTGAAGAAAGACGATTGGCTTGTGAGAGGAGGAAGGCAGTCAATGACGATCTATGAGGTAGCTAGATTGAGCAGTAGGTAGGGCACTGGGGCCTACAGTCAGGAAGATCTGAGTTCAAATGTGACCTTTAACAGTAGCTGAGTGACTACCTTCTATTTGCCTTAGTTTCCTCAACTATAAAATGGGGATGTTAACAGCTCCCATCTTACAGGGTTGTTGTGAGGATCAAATGAAATAAAGTTAACAAAGCACTTACCAAATGCCTGGCACATAGCAGGCATTATATAAATGCTTAGTCCCTCCCTCCCTCCCAGTGACTGTGGAATCATATGTGGTTATTACATTGATTATAGTTTATAGTTGTCTTCCTTTGCAACATTTTAGTCATTGTATGAATTGTTTACCTAGTTCTATTAACTTCAGTCTTCATTAGTTCATTTCATCAGAAATCTTAGGTTTATCTGAATATGTCCCTTTCATAAAATTCTATTACATTCATATACGACAGTTAGTTCAGATATCACCAATGAATAGACATCTTTTTTATTTCCAGTTCTTTGCTATTGCAGAAAGTGGAAGTGTAAATTTTTTGTGCATATCAATTCTTTCCCTCCTTTTTTGATTTCTTTTGAGTATAAATCTAGTAATGTTCTCTCTGGGTCAAAGAGTATGCCCAGTTTAATGATTTTTTGGAGTATAGCTCTGTAATGGTTAGAATTTTAGATCAATCTACATTTCCACTAAGAATACATTAGTATGTCTGTCCTCTCAGAGCTTCACCAACAGTAGTTATTTTCTTTTTTTGGTCATTTTTGCCAATCTGATGGGTATGAGGTCAAACCTTAGAGTTGTTAGCATTTTTTACATTGTTCTTAATAACTTGCCTTTATTTTTTTTCCAAATCACTACATTTTTAAAAATAATATTTTATTTTTTCTCTAATTACATGTAAACAATTTACACACTCATTTTTTTTTAAGTTTAAAGTTCCAAATTCTATCCATCTCTTTCTCCCTTTCTTCTTCCCTGGAACAGTAATCTGATATAGATTATACCTGTGCAATCATGTAAAATGTATTTCCATTTTAGTCATTTTGTAGAAGAAAACTCAAGCCAAGAAAGAAAGAAAGAAAGTAGAAAATAGTATGCTTCAATTTGTATTCAGACTTCATTAGTTCTTTCTTTGGAAGCAAATAGCATTTTTCATCAAGTCCTTTGGGATTGTCTTGGATCGCTGTCTTGCTGAAAGTAGCTAAGTCATTCACAGTTGTTCATCATACAACATTGCTGTCACTGTGTACAATGTTCTCCTGGTTCTAATAGCTTGTCTTTCTTCTAAGAACTGCTTGTTCATATTCTTTGGCCATTTATCTTTAGAGTAATGTATCTTCTTCATGTATATTTGAATCAGTTCCCTAGAGATCTTGGATATCAGGTCTTTATCAGATAAATTTTGTGCAAAGATTTTTCCTCACGTAACTATTTTTCCTTTAATCCTATATATAATCATTTTGTTTGTGTGAAGTTTTTTGATTTTATGTATTCAAGATTATATATTTTATTTCCTGTGATGATCCTCTCTATCCTTTATTTGGTAAATAACTCATCCCCTATACATAATTATGATTGTTCTCCCTCTTCCTCTTACTTGTTTTTTTTTAAATGAAATTTTGTTTTCCAGTTAGCAAAAATCTGTCATCTTTCTCTTCCACCCTGCCCCCTACAACTAAGAACAAAAGAAAAACAAAATCCCTTTTACAAACATGTATAGTCAAGGAAAACAAATTTCCATTTGTGTATATATACATATACATTATGTGTATGCACACAAATATATTTCTAATTTTCACTCTGTCATTCACCCCTTTATCAGGTTGGCATGTTAGAGTACCTGATTCCCCCATAGTATCACCATCATTGAATTTTAATAATTTTTTTAATTCTTTTTGTCATCCAGTGAGTATTTTGAAAGTTTTGGACATCTTTCTCTCATTTGGCCCACAGCCTCTCTATTCTTCTTATCATACACATTCCCTCCTATCTTGTCACTAAATTTTAAATAGTCTTCCTTATTAATGCCCAATCCTGTTACTAACCTATGAAATATCATGCTCCATTAAGTTTCCCAGCTGCCAGAATTCCTGAAAAGATCAGAATCTAGGATGGGGAAAAATACTAGCAAGAATATGCTGTTTAACCAGGAGAGGTTTTATAGATCACTTTTTCTTATTTGACCTGAGTACCCCAGGAACTTAAATTTTCTTCCTGATTTTATCTCCAATTTTGTGATTTCTTTTAGGTACTTGTTTTGGAAAACATTTGGGCAAAATATATCTTAAAATTTTCTTTACAAATAGTGTGATGGTGAAAGGTATACATGTGAAAGAAAATACATAAATTGCTGGCTGTGTACATAATAGTTATGACTATTTACTATAAGAAAAAATTATAGTTATTTTCCCTTTGCAGAAAAAAATTACAAAATCTATTATAAGATGGAGAAAGGATATTTCTCTGTAAGTTGTATTATTTGTTCAGGTTTCCTTTCTAGGAATTATCAAAGAGAAAACCACCATGACTATAAACTTAACAAAATACCATTTAAAGACCATTTCTCACATGTTCATTAGTTTTGATTTTTTTTTAACTTCCTGAGATGCTATCTTACCATACTGGCCATCAGAAAAAAGAAATCATGTTCAACCTATGGGTTTTTTTTCCCACTTCTGTTTTCAGAACAATGAGGTGTTAGAGCTGCAGAGAATAAGAATGAAGGATGAAATCCGAGAATACAAGTTTCGAGAAACCCGCCTCCTTCAGGATTACACCGAATTGGAAGAAGAAAATATTACTTTACAGAAGCTGGTGTCCACATTGAAACAGAACCAGGTAGGATTGTTTTTAAAGATTTTATTAGTTATAGTCCAAATGAAAGTGTTTCTGCTTAGTAACACCTTTTCCTATCTCAATAAGCAATTTCTCAAATTTTGCCTTAATTTTTCTCTCCTAAAGTTAACAGACCTTTGCTAATGTTTTCTTGCTGCTTTACCATGGGATGATAGTAGCTATGCATGTGGAGCACAAACTCTGGCAGGCTGTACCAAGTGAGAAGGTCTTCAGAGATAGTCTTTGTGATAAACTGTGTGAAATATGAGGACCAGGCTATTTAATTTTAGAAAGGATAACCACCAATTGATGTATTATTCTGGCCGTAGTAAAACATGAAAACTTAGAGAGATTGCATTCTATATGAGTAGAGAGAGCACTGATGAATCATAAATTTTTTTTAGTCTTTTGATGTATTAAATAATTGAATTTAACAAAACTACTTTTCCCTACGAAATTTATACAGTGCCATTTCCTTACATTTTTCTTGCTATTATTTTTAATTGAAATAGTGTAATAGATTATTGTGTAGGCAAAAGATGCCTCAACTTGGAGTTTTAGTCTATGTTATTGTAGTTTAGAACTAAAAAAAATCTGTTTGTTGAAGAGAGCTTAGCTTAAGCACTAAAAGTAAAGAGACTGAACTCTGTTTCAAACTTGTTTCTACAAACATTTGGAATTATTTCAGTCCGTTAAAAAAATAGATACTAGGGCATATGGTTAGGAAAGTTAAAAAAATTTCTCATTATTATTAAAATGGCTCTAATTTGTAGAATTCTTTGAGATCTCAAGAAAAACAGAATTTACATGGTAAAAATCAAGATCAGAGCCATTAAGAGAAAAAATGCTTATTTTCCTCCAACTACCAGAAGAAATTATCTTCCTCATTTCTAGTTTGACTGAGAGTTCAACTAATGCATATATATGTTAATGTAATTTCTCTTTGTAAGGAAGTTCAGAAAACTGCATGTCCTTGACAGGATTTTGTTGGATTAACAAAGAGAGTAGCTATCTTCTTGGAAGAGGCAATTTGTGAAAATGCTTGTTAATATTTGTATTTTTTGAAGGAGAATGACAAAAGTAGCAGGATAGTTGGGGATCACCAAGAGTCTAAGCTGATGCCAGTATAACATTCTGGACTAAATTTTGCTTCTACTTCCCTTCTCAAAGGAGAAAACTGAGAGAGGTTCCTCCAACCCCACCGTCAAAATGTTATCTTTTGACTATAGGTACTTCCCCACTGATTTTTTAGGATTCTATGTTGGAAGACAACTGAAAATGTACCATGTTGAGCTAATGATAAAGAGGTGATTGAATAATTTCAGTTCATAGAGTCCTGGAACACCATTCAGTGTTCATCCTATCCCACTCAAATCGTTGATTAGATGTGGCTCTATATGCGCATTGAGGAATGGTTGTATTTTATGCTTGCATTTTCAGTGTTTCTAAGAAACCTTTGGGAGTCAAAAAGAATAAATTCTCTCCCCATGCCTCTTATGAAACATAAATAGGACTTAAAGCAAATTTACTATAGTCCATTGGAAATACTCATGTTGCCAATGCAATCTATCACTGAGGATTTGGATTTTAAATTACCATTAGTTTCTGAAAAATCTAAATCCTCAGTGATAGATTGCAATGGCAATGTGAGTGTTTCCAGTGTGCTGCAGTTAATTGAAGGTATACCTACAGCACTCTCCTATTGAGTATTACTGGATGGAGTTTAATTTCCCTTTCGGAGTTAATTAGGGCCAGTTCAAGTCATAGTGGAAAGACTACTGTGATTTCCTAAGAGTATTTGTTAACTAGGATGCTTTATTTGGCAATTTGTAGTAACCAATGAATGATTTTTTCTGTTTCGCTCTTCCTCTTTTAACAGTACTTGAAAAATGGAAACTAATAGATGATTCAGCAGAAATAAATGAAAATTGAAACACTTATGTTGTAGTTCAGTCATTTCAGTCATGTCTGACTCTTTGTGACTCCATTTGGGGTTTTCTTGGCAAAGATGTTGGAGTGGATTGCCATTTCCTTCTCGAGCTCATTTTACATAGGAGGAAATGGAGACAAACAAGGTTAAGTGATTTGCCGAGGCTGGATTTGAATTCAGGAAGATCAGTCTTTCCTCACTCCAGACCTGGCATTCTATCCACTGTTGCACTTTGCTGTTCTAAAACAGTTAACCTATCTTTAATTTCACTTTTATTTGTAAGACATCTTATGATAATTGCCCCAAATCAGTGGCTAATGAATTATTCCATCATTATTTGTCAAAATGTTACAATGGGAGCATTCTAGCTTATTTTTTGATAAGTGGGTGTAAGTACACATGTTGTAAAAATTAGACAATGCCATATTTTTCTGCAGTACATTCTTTCTTATGAGCACTTGTATCTATCAAAATTTTGCTTTCTGCTCAAACTATATAAATAATGAAAAATCAAGTTACTACATTGAAATGTAACTCTTGAAAAATGAAGAGTTGATTTTTTTTCTTTCCCTCCAAATTCCTAATAACTTAGCTATTTGTTGATTAGGTGTTAGATATTCACTCCACAAATGAGTAATTTATATTCAAAATGTATTTGAAAAAAAACCCTGAATGTAAGGATTAGTTCTGATTAACTTGTCATTTGTCAGTTGCAGTATCTGTTCTAACACAAAAACAAATTAGATACAAATTTCAGTTCTTCAGCCATATTTCATTGGATGCTAATTTCGTTCTATTTGTCAGAAACAGAATGAAGGCTACTCCAACAGGGACATAAGCAGCCACCTGTATTTCATAACTAAAACAGTAATTGAAATGTAGCTCTACCCTAAAATAGCTTACTTGGTAATGTGATATGAATGTCCCAAAATTTGCAGTCTAAGGCATTAAAGACCCCTCTTAAAAGAAAATTTTTACATTTTTCTGGGAATCTTGGGGAAGAGATTGATTTAAGATTGGGGAAGTTGGAGAAAAATTGTGCTTAAATAAGAAAGAGGATGCAAAAAAAAATCTGAAAACAGAACTGGGAAGAACTAAGTTTTAGGTCTTTGAAGAAGTAAGTCAGTGACAATGACATTGAGGCTCTTCCTTCTCCAATTCAACCTACTACAGATTATAGCAGTAGGCCTCTAATCATTTTAGCAAAGTTAATCCATGATCTGTTTTGCTTAGGGTTAATGACCATCAAAGGTCCATTCAGACCACTTTAGCATAATTTATTAGACTTATTAGTTAGCTTATATGAGCATCTTGATAAAATGCTGGGATGTTGGCATTAAAGATTCTAGGCATGGGGCTCTTAGAATGTAGAGCAAAATAGTAAGGATTCCTGAACTTCTAGACCTAAAATATGGATCCAAGAAAGATCCAAAAAAATTTTAGGTGTTTAACATTTTGCCTAGGGTAGGCTTTAACAGAGTTCATAACTATTAATAACATTCAAAAATATTTTTAGGAACCTTAGGACCATAACAAGGACTCTATTACACAATATCAACTTTAGCACCACTTCAACATGACCACAGTTTCTTTTGCGATAAAATTATCTACACATCTCCTGCACCCACATTGTTAAAGATTATCTCTGCTAACCCCACATTATTCACAATAAATAGATGGTCTTAGTCCATTGGTTTAGTCCTTTTTTAAGCTTCTGCCCAGTCAGGGGCTGTATCACTCTTAAAGGAATTTAAAAACAAAATTTATAACATGAGTTTAACCCTTTGGTTTGTCCTCTTAATTTCCATCTGCCACCCTAAATATGGTCCTTTTAGAATGGGTTTTCCACTTGCCAGTCACTGCATGAACCAACCCTACTACATTGCTGTCATCAGTCTTTATTTAGCCCTGATATTCTTCTAACATTACTAACCACCAATCACAGAAGGTGCTGCCTGACTTGAGAAATTATAGTCTATCTGAAGAGAGGAAGTTTTGTAAAGGCTCTTGATAAAGTACACTGTCTCCCTAATTAGCATACATCCAGTGTAAGTGTAGGTATGTAGGGATAGGGATAGGAATGTGAGGAGAAGGGGAATCAACCACTATTAATGGCTTAGAGTAAGGTTTATGTTCTTGTGACTCATAGAAAGGAAAAGGAGAAAATTCAGCCTGAACCCCTGAAACTTACCAGGTGTTCTTAAAAGCTCTCAGTTTAAAGCCTTTAAACTACTCTGAGACACCTGAAGAAATCTCCTTATTGCTTCCTGCAGGCTTATCAAGGGATGTGGGGCTTCTGGGGGCTCCTTTAATGTAGTACTAAGAATATACTTCTGTGCCCTGCATCATCATTTAATTGTTTATTAAGCAAACACTTAATAGGTGCTTTCTATGTGCAAAGGACTATGCCATGGACTTGAGGAGTTTACATATAGGACAAAAATGACAGCTGCAAAATACCTATAATCTAAAATAGACTGTCATAAGTACATGAGGAAAATAGAAACAAAATATTGTGGTTGTTCCTAGGGAGTAAAGATGGGTCTACTAGGGTTCTGAAATTCAGAGATGGGAATTTGGACTCCCTAGTGCCATTTAGCATCTGGTGCTGTATAAGTAGGCAAGGATTCATGGAGCCCCTTATAACTCAGGGTTAAGGATGGACTGGGATTCTCGTTAAGTTTCTTTGAGAGCTAAAGAAATGGGACCCTAATTTATGTCATTCTGGGGCTTTCCTTAGTCTCAAAAAGCTTCATTATGATCAGGTCACTAGAGTTTTGTAAATATATTTCCATGGCATCGTCTCCTCTGTATTATACTGATCAAATTACCCAATTAGACACTTTCCCAAAAGAATCAGTACCCATGAGATCCAGATTCTATTTTTTTTTATAAGTAATACATAGTAATAAAAAGTCTTATGTGAATGCTAATTATGCTCTCATTTTTCTTAACTTAAACCAATCCAATTCAAGACACATTATGTACTTACTATATAACTTACTGTATAAGGTTCTGGCAATACAAAATCAAAATTTAAAAATTAAAAAAAAAGGTCCCTCGGCTTTTGAAGAGTTAAAGTTCTACTAGGTCAACTCACCTCAGTCTAATGTGAGAATCTTGCAATCCAGGGTTCTTTGCTATATGGCAATTCATGGGGTACCACAGAAGGCTGCAGAAGTGCCTGCCACTTCATCTAAATATATTGATTAACCTCTATCAATAGCATTAATTTACACACAGGTTTAAATAATTGCCTTATAGTCTTCTGTTACTTAAATGTCTAAGTTCTTTTTAAGAAAAAAATATAATGTAAAACTTAAGAGGTAAGGTTATTCTATTCAGTTAATGTATGCCAAGGCTTTTTAGGCTTGTGATAATTTGAAAGACTTTTAAGTATATAGGGTCTACAGAATACTTAATGGCATGTTTGTAAGAGCCAAGTTTAATAAATGTTTTTTGTCCTATTTAATTTAGGTGGAATATGAAGGCTTAAAGCATGAGATTAAAAGATTTGAGGAAGAGATGGTTTTGCTAAATAGCCAGCTAGAAGATGCCATCCGGTTGAAAGAAATTGCTGAGCGCCAATTAGAAGAAGTCCTGGAAACTTTAAAAAATGAAAGAGAACAAAAGAACAACCTGAGGAAAGAACTATCCCAGTATATTAATCTCAATGAAAGTGTGTACAATAATCATATCAATATCTCAGTAGATGGACAAAAATTTGCAGAAGATGTGGCTGAACCAAACAACGATGACAAAATGAACGGACACATCCACGGTCCACTTGTGAAAATGAATGGAGATTATCGGACTCCAGGAAGGAAAGGAGAAACTCTCCACCAGGTCTCTGACTTATTCAGTGAGCTTAACATTTCAGAAATGCAGAAACTGAAGCAGCAACTTATGCAGGTAATAAGTTTGGGGAGTTTGTCAGCAAATGGTGTTTTTAAAAAATGTATTCGGGGAGAATTTATAGATCCAATGTGAGTTATGTATTGAACCAAAATTTCTTTCCAACAGGAATTTCTTGTTCATCTTCTAATTTCTACTTGATGGTATTCTAATTTAATAAGTTAATACTTTAATAAAGAGCTGTGTGAGAGCTGCATATAAATTGAAGAGACACAGCAAAAAGGGTAAAATGTAAAAGATAAAATTAGCAGGTGCAAATAGCTAAAGAGCCAGTGCTAAAGGAAAAAGAGTTGATAAGGTATGCTCTGTCTACTGCTATTGGTAAGAAAAAGAATGAGTAATTTTCTCCCATGCAAACTGAGTAAAAGTACCAAACACATGCCCTTGGTGTTAGAGTTAGGGATCAGTTTTAGGCAGAATCCCATTTTAGCAAACATCATTAATAGAACATTCTGCAAAATATAAATAGGATATTTTCATGGCCAATCCAACAGTTTATCCTGACATTATTCCACAAATTCTATTATATGAAAAATATTACATAATGAATGTATTAAGTCTGCTCAATGAAGATGTTTAAGGATTTCTGCAATTATGTATTAATGCCTACTACATTCAAAACACTGTTACACACTGAGAAAAATATAAATATGATAATAATAATAATATTCAATTACAAAAGCAATCATTTTATCCACTTGCACATTATCTAACATAGAGAATTAAGTATAAAAGAATTGTCCTCAGACCATTTCTATCAGAAACCTATCAAAAAAGATGAGAAAAATGGAATAATGATAATAACAATAATCATAGCTGATTTTTACAAGATACTTTAAAGTTTGCAGAGCACTTCACATAATTATCTCATTTGGCAATCAGCACAATACTGTAAGGTAGGTAACACAGCTATTATCTCCATTTTACAAATGAGAAAATCAAGGTGTAGAAAGATTAAGTGACTTACCTATGGTGCCACAGTTTATAAGTGTCAGAAATGTGATTTAATCACCAAAACATAAGAAAACTATTCCTAAGATCTTTATCTTAACTACCTCTATGACCTTCGATGACATTTGAGTTCTAATGGGGGGCTTGTTTCTTCTCTCCCTACTAGAACGTAAGTACATCATCTTTATATAGTATCTTCCAATTGCTCAGAAGTATTCACCTTTTTATATTTCTCTTAACTCTTGTGTTTTCATTTTAAAGTTTCTATTCAATTCTGGTCTTTTCATCAGATATGCTAAGAAGTCCTCTTTTTCATTAAAGATCCTTCCTCTTTTTGCATTCAGCAAAACTATATGCAGTTTTACTGGCTAAGTTATTCTTGGTTGTATGCATATGTTTTTTGCCTTTAGGATACAATATTCATATTCTAAGCTTTCTTCTTTGTTGTGGTAGCTGCCAAATCTTGTTCAATCTTGATTGTAGCTCTTCAGTACCTGAACTCTTTCTATACATTTATAGTACACACATACACACACATACACTCTGGATTTTGGCTATAATGTTCCTGGGAGTTTTCATTTTAGGGTTTCTTTCAGGAGGTAGATTCTTTCTAATTTCACATTGCCCTCTGTCTGGGACATTTTCATTCATGATTTCTTAAAAAACATAGTATCTAGGCTTTTATGGTCAAGATTTTCGGATAATCAGATGATTCTTAGTTTAGCATTCTTAGGGTCAAATGTAAAATGCTTTAGAAACTTTAAAGCACTACATAAATGGTAGCTGTCCTTATCATCATTACCATCATCATCATAGCTCCTTGTTTTCTAGGTCTCTTGTTGATAGGAGACATTTTACATTTTGTGATATTTCTCAGTGTTTTTATTTTATTCTAATATTTCATGTTATCTCATTGAGTCATTGATCTACATCAGGTCAGAACTAATGTTCAGATGGTATGTTATTTGAGTAAGGTTTTACACCTCCTATTAAAGTATTTATTCTCTTTCCAAGTCTTTACTCTGGAACTTTAATTTCCTTTCCCATTCTTTTCTCCAGAGCTCTCATTTTATATTAGAACTTTAAAAAAAAAAAACTCTTGCCTCATGTCTTCTAGGAATTCAGTAGAGCTTATGACAAATCTTTTATTTTCTTTGTGATTTTGCTTGTTGATAATGTGTAGTTAATCTCTAATATGGAGTTTGTGTCTTGAGCATCCCTATCTCCAAAATATTTCTTAACCATCAGAGCTTTCCTATTTTTTTTTCATTTTCCCAGCCTTACTTCTTGAATTGAGGCTTCATATTCTGACCAGCCTCTATGTATGTCTGTAAGGAACGGTGGGCCTTGTCTGGTAGTGATCTGAATTATCTGTGGTCAAGTCCCTCAAGAGTGGCAGTGCTAGGGAAATTTACCTTAGGGCAGTCTCTATGAAGAGATCTGAAGAGGTAAAGAGACCTTCATTGGAACCCCAGTTTGGGGTTAAGGCAACATTGATATAGGCCATAGGCCTCCATGGTTAAACCATGGTCTTAGTTCCCATCTCCCTGTCCTAGAACAAAGCTTTAGACTCTGTAAATTTTCTTAACCTGCCCATGTTCCCTCTGCAGGAAGGCTTCTGTTTGCTGTGATCCTGGACCTGGTTTGTCTGTTTTGTTTTATTTTTAATGTGTTAAAAATCTATCTACCCTTGCCTTAGTGTTCGTGATCTTTTGACTGTCTCTTTGAGGAGAACTGGCCTTTTCTCCTTACACTCACTTGAGGAGAGTCTCACATGACTTGTTCCTGATGAAGCCACGCTGGCCTCTTTGTGATCACTTATTATCTTTTCTAAAATATTCACTTACTATCCCTTTGTTCAAGCTTTGTAGGATTTTGCCAGAATTCAAAGTCATATTTGTTGCTATATTTGTTGTTCATAGATTCTACTTTCTCCTCTTTGGGAAAAATAATGACATTTGCCTTTCTGTACTGTGGCATCCTTACAAAGTTGCCACAAACTTACACAGATAACTTATGCTGGTTCAGGAATCAAAACTACTTGAAACTGTAGAGCATTACATTGGTATCTTAGGATGTAATTTATCTGGGCCTACTGACTTGAACTCATCTAGGGCAGCAAGGTGCTCTCTTACTATCTCTCTAACTATCTTGAATTTCAACTCTTTGAGCCTTTGTCTTTTTTTTTTAACCCAGAAATCTTTATCTAGAAGAAACAGAAAAAAGTTAGAATTTATTTTCACCATCATCATTGCTGTTATCCTCTTCTCTTCTTTGACTCTTCTCTTTTTCCTGATATAGATTTTTTAAAAATCCACAGGTTTTATTGCCTTTTGACTTGTCAGCCTCATTCTGAGCTTTAGCATTCCTGACACTTTTCTTACAGCATCACTCTTATATTAGTCATCTGTTACTGCCTGTGCTTCCATCTTTTGTGAATGCTTTAAAACCCAAGTTGTTTGATGAATCCTGTCTATATATTCTTTTCCTTCTCTTCAGAATTTCTTTTCTTTGTGTCTTCAGAATTCCTTTCTTCAGTGCTTCCCACCCTACCTGAGCAGATACTCCTTTTAGCATGTTAGCTCATGGAATCTTACATGACCTTTCTCTGAACTCTTTGAAATCTGCTCTTCCCAGACATAGAACACCTATTGCATAATTGCCAACTTCCTTATCTTCTATCACAGATTCTAAGAAGGAGTAGTCACTTTACTCCCAAGGTTCCTATCATTTCTGCTTTAGCAACCCATTCTTTATTAACAAGAATCAGAGCTATAATAAGTGTTCTCTTCATAGGCTCCTTGGTCTTTTAAAAAATGAAATTTTCCTTAAGGCCTCCTATGCAGGTCACTGCAAAATTCTCATTTCGTTTTTGTTGCTTTTTAGTGGAGTATATTGTTCATTTTCAAGTCAAATTACTCATAGCTTCCAACCTTTGAGAGGGATAGCAACAAGGTACCTCCTCTTTATCCTTATTCTGTAAATAAGGAAAGATCAGGTGGTATAATGGAAAGGGTAAACTCTGATTCAAGTCTCCCTTTACTGCTTCTGTGACCTTGGGCAAGTAACCTTGCCCCTTGGAGCTTCTGTTTCCTCATCTGTAAGATGGAAATTTTATTGGATTTTAGAGCTGGAAGGGAATTTAGAGAGAGCCTAGTCCAGTACTTTTATTTTATAAATAAGGAAATCTAATCCCAGAGAAGTCAAATAATTTGCCCAAGGTCTTTGCAGGCAGGAAATAGCAAGGTGAGGATTCAAACCTGGGTCATTTGGGTCCAGATCCATTGCTTTATTTCATTGAACTACATTTACCCTGGGGGATATACATATAGATATACACACACACACACACACACACACACACACACACACATAAATTTATTTATTTATTTATTTTTTGCTTTTAGGTGAGGCAGTCAGGGTTAAGTGACTTGCCCAGGGTCACACAGCTAGTAAGTGTCAAGTTTCTGAGGCTAGATCGAACTCAGGTCCTCCTGACTCCAAAGCCAGAGCTCTATCCACTGCGCCACCTAGCTGCCCCTAAATGGTTTTTTTTGGTTTTTTTTTTTTGGCAATGCAATGGGGTGAAGTTACTTGCCTAGGGTCACACAGCTAGTAAGTGTCAAGTGTCTGTGGCCGGATTTGAACTCAGGTCTTCCTGAATCCAGGGCTCTAACCACTGTGCCATCTAGCTGCCCCTCATTGAACTACATTCTACTTTAACAATAAACTATCCCAGGTATGTACATTAATCACATTTACTTAACTATAAATTAATTTCTTCAATTTAGATTTTTCTATTTAGCTGATATACTGTTGGAAGATTTAGTGTATGATTTGCAAACCCTCTTTTGAAAATAAACAGATCAATTAGTGTAATCCCTTATTCCTAAAGAGAAATTTCTCAGGGAATTAGCAAATAAGTGATTTTGGATTTTGGACTCTTCCAGTGTTGTTTCCCTCCAGGACATAATAATTGAGATATCACAGCAATTGTCAAGCACTGTAATAATTTTGAAATGAAAAAAGTAGTTGTGCCTGGAAAA